GGCCGGACGCCTCCTGTCGCGACCCCGTCGTCGTCGGTCTTCTCGAACGCACTCAAGCGGGCCGCCGAGAGGAAGGGGCGGAGGGAGGGGGGCACGCGAGAGTGGACGAGGAGCCGGACGAAGTTGGGGAGGGGCACCTTGCATCGCCAGTTGTGGATGGCGCGGAGGTGCTCATAGCGCCACCCGGTCCCGCCCTGCGCCGAGCCCTTGGGCGCGGTCTTGAGTGCCCCCAAGAGGTGCTCATCGTCGGGCTCGAAGACGGTGCGGGGTGCGTTGTTCGGCGGCAGGGTGGGGGACGGGTCGAGTGGGAAGGAGGCCGCCGGGTGTAGAGCGCGCAGCTTCGCAAGGGTGTCGTCGTTGTTGGGCAGCACCTTGCCCGATATAGACCCTTACTCGTGGTTTGCGAGCTCAAATGCACTCGCAAGCGAAGTAGACAAGAAGCCACAGACAAAGGAATCAGACGCTTTGGTTTCTTTCCTTTACTTCAACGATTAAAGATCGGGGAGAAGAAGGGAGCCGAGCAACGTGGACGTCACAGGCTGTGTGGGAAACTTGTGGTGGTGCGGCTGTTGAGGCTTCCGCACGTCCATTGCTTCATTCTATATATGCCAGGCTTGCACGGTTTTGGCTGCAACTGCAAACACGAAAGTGGTAGGCCGACTCACACGACACACACAGGGGATAGGATGCGATGCCTTTGAGCCTTTGGACTGGCATAGACAGATCTGGACGACTGTGTGCTCTTGTGTGCGTTCGTCTGGCTTTCAGAGCTGCGTGGCGGTGAGTTTCTGCTGCCCTACATCGACAAGGAAGGCGTGAGAGGGCTCAACGAAGAGGTGACGAGAGGCAGGCCGTCAGAGAATGTTCCCTCTTCTTGATATGCCCTTGTCTGTCTGTCTGTCTGTGGTTTCAGGTGGCCAACTCGGCAGTCAAGGTGTTCAAGACCTATGAGGAGCGGCTCAATGACAGTGAGTACTGCGACTCGACAGACGGCGACCCCGAGCTCATCATACAGATACCATTCACCGCGCCATGCAAAGTGAGCCAGTCAGTGGCACGCGGGCAGTGTGTTGTGGTGTGTGTTGTGTGTCTGCAGATCTCCAGTCTGCACGTGATAGGCGGCACAGACGGCACCTCACCGTCGAGGATCAAGCTGTACACCAACAGGGAGGACATCGACTTCACCAAGTGACCTCGGCCACCCACGACACACACACACACACACACTTACACTTGCACCCTCACACATGCATGTCTGCGTGTGTGTGTGTGCCCGTTTCAGTGTACATGACATTGCGTGCACCCAGGAGGTCGAGCTGGTCGAGGACTACTGCGGTGCTGTCGAGTACTCACTCAAGGTCGGAATACACTCACAGACAGGGGAGCTGCTCCAGGGCGACTTTGCTTCCTTGCTTCTCTGTTCCCTGGCTGCGCAGGTTGCCAAGTTCCAGAACGTGACGCACCTCACGGTCTTTTTCGATGAGAACTTCGGCGCGAACCAAACACGGCTATACTACATCGGTGAGCAACGCGTCACACGCAGATGACCGGTGTGTACTAATCCCTTCATGTGCCTGTCTGTGTGTATGTGTGTGTGTATGTGTGGGTGTTGTTTGCTCAGGGTTGCGTGGGCAGGGGTCGTCTTACCAGCGCAAGGCAGTGGTGACTGTGTACGAGGCCAGGGCGGAGCTGCAGGACCATGAGATCAAAGATCAAGAGGCGCCCGACTACGGTGTCGGCTGAGAGCATGATGATGGGACCACCAGCTGCGCTGGTCGTTTGTGTAACGGTATAATGGTTGCCTGTCAGTGGGTGTGTCGAGTGGGTTTTGGTAGGGGGGATGTTTTCTCGTACAGAGGGGCGAGGAGCGGACGTGGAACTAGTGGACATTTGCGTACCGATGAATGAATGCATGTCGATCGGCACGATCCAGTGAGTCAGTAATCGGTTCGACTCTATCATATGCACACATCCGCTCGCCATGAGGCTCCCTTGATGAGCTGAGAAGTGGTGCAGTGTTGCCGCTTGGGCGGTCGGAGGCAGGAAGGAAAGGCACTGCATGTGCAGAGCCTGTCACCCAAACACGTAGACAGAATGTCTCATGCACCCACATCCATAAGGCGGTGACAAAAGATATAAAATGTAGGCAGCGGTTGCCCGTTCTAGTCGACGAGACACCGGACAAAAACAGCCCTGGGATATAAATCGTAGACAGCGATGCTATTCCCCACAGCCGCTTGAGCTTCAGCAGGGCCCCCCTTCTTCTGGGGGTGCGACTCCGACCTTATGATAGTCACTGTGGCGCCGGGGACGGTGGTGCTGCGGGGGTGGTGCTCGGCCGTTGGCGCCTGGGGATGAGGGTGTGCCGGGGTTGGCAGGGCCGATCCTACAGATGATTCATTGGTGGCATTGGTCCGCCACCGACAGCCAGACCGGCCAGCCAGGGATGACGCAGAGCGGCCTTCGCTGCACACACACACACACACACATGGACGACACTTGGTTCACGCGACGCAGACCCGCCCGCCGACCTGTGAGGCGCTCGCGGGGGTCAAATCTGAGCATCTGCTCGATCAGCTGATACGCCTGGCACATGTCCTCGTCAGCCTCACTGGGCAGCCTCACCTTCTGAAGACACAGCAGGCACCCAAGGGCAATCGTCTCGTCGTTGTCTGTCTGGTCTGTCTGGTGTGTGTGTGAGTGTGAGGGGTCTGTTTGTTTGTACCAGCTGTCCGTTCAAGGATGCCTCCTCGAGTTCGTCAGCAGTCCACCTGTCCTCGTCGATGTCCTCGAAGGGGCTCGTCTCGAAACACACCAAGTACCTACACCCACCAGGCAGCCAGGATGTGTGTGTGTGTGTGTATGTGCCTTCGGTTGCCTACAAGCTAACTCCAGCCGCCCAGATGTCGCTAGCAGGGCTCCACTTCCTCGCCTTATCCTTCCCTAAGTGCACCTCTGGGGCCTGACGGACGCCATCCAGCCAAATGAGCAAGGACAGGCAGCACACACACACACATCAAAACTAGTTCCGTTCTGCGCCGTGCAGTCACTTGTCGGCCGACCGACTTACGCGGAAACCGTCAGCACCCGGGAGGAAGCCGTCTCTGTCGGCTCGTCGTGACTTAGTGGTCGGCGGCCGGCCGACGAACATGCACTCGTCGAAGCCAAGCAGCATGCAGCCCTGCGGGGTCCACCTGAGTTGTTGAGCTTGACATGTCGGTGCACCAGCTGCAGCACACACACACACACACACACACAGACACACAGACACACAGATGGGCCGCCCGCCCCTCCCACCTCTCCCACATCCCACCGACCTCGATGCCCTCGCCAGAGAGGGAGAGCAGAGTTTGCAGATGGCTTTGTACACCTCAGCAGTGTGCTCGGAACTCGCCACGTCCCTGATGGATGGATGACACGTCTCTGTCGGCAAGTCAGCTGCACACACCACACCACAGTGACCAACAGTGTGGGCGTCTGATGCATATGTGTGTGTGAGTGTGTACCACTGTGTTGGGAAGCGGAAGCCATCCGCACCTCGCGCACCATGGTCGTTGCCAGCTCTAGGCAGCAGCAGGAGGCCTCTGGGACCACGAACGTGGGCAGGCACCACGGCCCCTTCCTCTCCCAATAGGCCAGGTCCCACTGGGTCAAGGAGCTGGCGTAGAAGCCATCGTCCCCTTCCCCCCAGTGGGACACTGGCACCTTCAGCCGCCGGCTGAGGCCTCCAGGTGCTGGCGCGGGCGACTCGAGGGAATTCAGGGCATGAAACGGTCTGCACACACACACACACACACACGGCGGCGTTGACGTGCTCTCATCTGACGATCCAAACGACGCCTGAAAATACCCACTCTCCCACTGTAAGTCAGGCTCCCTCCCTCCCTCCCTGTCCACATCCTCACCAGCTTACCTCCTTGGCCGTCTTGCGGGCCATGGCGGCGACATAGACTGAGACGTCTAAATATGTCTGAGGGTGCACTTGTTCTGAGCTTACTTGGTGCACTTGTTCTGAGCTTACTTGGGTCTCCCAGTGAAGGGCTCCTGACGGCGATGACCGGGGGGAGCAGCCAGCTGCAGGATCCAGCCAGCCACCCAGAAGGGTCTGCACATGTATGGATGGATGTCGTATTCGGGGATTACCAGTCGGTGCTGCAGCTTGGGCTGATCGATGGCCGCCGAAGCGGCCAAGTATGGAAAGAGAGGAAACACAGAAGAGACATAAGCAAATACTCTTTCCTCTTTCTTCTCCCTTACTTACGTACCTGAGTGGTCTCCGTCGATGAGGGCGTCTCACTCCGAATTGGCAACGAGCCCTCCCGCGCACCTACTACTTCGACCGACACAGGAGGAATTGTTATGTAATTGTGTCGTCTCTTTCGTGTGTGTTGTGTGTGTCTTCCTGGTGTCTTGCGCGCCGGGCTCCTGTTGGCGTTGTCGTGGTTGGTCTTGGACCCGCTCGCCGCTGCCGTCAGCCACAGGATACAGAGGGGGTAAAGGATGTATTTCTGTTAGTTTGTGGGTGGGTGTGCCCGCCTCGCTCGTCTCATGATGCACTCACTCACCTGGTCGGTCGATGTCGGCTTGGCGTTGGTCGAGCTCCTTGTCCTTGTCACTCTGGACGGCCTCCAAAGTCGACTTGAGCTGAACCAACTTACACACAGACACACACAATCCATCCATCCATCCATCTCTCTCCAGAGCAATCAGTGCAGTGCACCCACCGGCCCACCCACCCATCCATCCATTCACTACTTCCCTCCCTTCCTCTCTGCACCATTCCAATTCACTTGCCCGACTCGCTGGTGTGCTCCTCGACCGACTTGGCCAACGCATTACGCAGCCTCTCTATCTCAGCAGAGTACTGCACACGCACACACACACACAGATGGCTTGGTGTGCTGCGTACGTGCGTGCGTGCGTGTCTGTGTGTTGGCGTTTCTCTGACTCGTTCCTTGTCGTCCTCGGCCTGTCGAAGCTGCTCACGGGTCGTCGTCAAGAGACCTTCACCCTGACGACACGCACACAGACCGACAGACAGATAGACAGACAGACACAAAGAGAGAGAGAGGGAGGGGGGACAGAGGGATTTGTGTGTGTGGATGTCTGTCTGTGAGTGTGTGGGTGTGTGCGCCCGCCTCGTTTGTCTCATGATCCACCCACTCACCTGGTGGATGTCCGATTTGCGTTGCTCCAGCTGACGGTCCTTGTCACTCTGGACCTCCTCAACCGTAGACTGCACCTGTGTAGCCGCAGAGTGCAGACCTGCATCCGTCGGCGGCGTATAAAATGACTAGCAAAGGGATGTCTATTTGTAGCACTCCACCAGCCGCTCTCCACTACGAGAACGGTATGCCCACGTCACTCATGCCGATTACGACGCTCATCCTACCAGCCAAGACAACCCATACGACCGACCATTCGCTGCGTGCGTTCACGTATGTTCGTTCGTTCGTTCCCCTGCCGCTTTCCCTTGATCTCTGACTTACAGATCGATTTTGGTATTGAGGAGGTGAATCTCACTCTCGAGGTAGCGAATGTACTCTAGGTAGCTGCCAAGACAGAACGAACAAGAGACACAGACCCATGATACATGCTGCTTGTTGTCAAGTGTATGCATGAGTGCGTGCCTTCCTTACTGGATAATCTCACGCAGTGGGCGCCTCTCGCCTTTGTCCGGACACATCCCCTCCTTGACGAGCACCAGGGCCATCCTGAGGTCCTGCACGGCCTCCTCGTCGCGCGCCTCTCCCCTCTGCCCCTCCCACACGAGCCGCTGCTCCACCGTCGGCTTCTCGTCGTTAATGTCGTGCAGCGCCCGTCTCCCCCCTTCGCCCCCCACTTCGATGGCCTCCTTAATGAGCGCATCCTCCTCCTTCACCCACTCGAAGTGGCGGCCGTACAGAGATCTGCTGCTGCTGCTGCGGGCCCCATGTGCCCCCGGGAAGAAGGGCAGCTCCTGCCCACAGAAGGGGTGGGTGTCGGAGGGGCCGCTCGGCGGGTCCATAAAGGGACCCGTGAAGGTCGCGGGGGGAAAGATGACGTGGTTGTGCGAGGGGCCGCTCGGGTGGTCCATGTGGGGACCCATAAGGATGGCGGCGGCCAGCGAGCAGATGGCGTAGGTGTCCGCCATGCGGCTGAAGGCGCCATAGAGGGGCGACTGCGGTGCTGCCGTTGCGACCGTGCTGGGCTTGCTCTGGTCGATGACCACCTCGATCACCTTGGCCACACGTCTCAGTGCCGTTGGGTCGCAGTGGGGAGGGGGCACCGCCACCGGCTCCACATGGCACAGTGTGGGTGGAGTGGTCGTCAGGGGCTGCTCGGCCTCGGTTGTCGGCCTGGCCACCTCGAAGTCGATCCACGGGCTGTAGAGGCGGCGGGTGACGGGATCCCACACGACCATGGCATTCTGGCCATTGGTATCCCCGTGCACCCACTCAGCCCCATGGATGCCCTCCAGCGACGACAGGCACGACACCATGAGCTGGCGGTAGAGGCCTTTGCTGAGGTTGAGGCGCTCGATCGTCTGCTTGATGAGCTGCAGCTTCCGTGCCGTGGCCCGCGACTTGATGCTGGGGTGCTTCAGGCGGCCGCAGCGGATGTGGAGGAAATCAGTGAGGTTGACGCTGCCGGTCCACAGCTCGCCTGGCCGCACCTCTGCCTGGTGCTGCCTCCTCTCCTCCCCCTCATCCCCACTCTCCGCCTCCCTCGCCCGCGCCATCTCGGCCTCCTTGGCGGCCTTCTCGGCACGCGCAAGCAGGATGGTCGACGGGACGTAGTCCTCGTCCTCGTCCGGAATCAGGAACTGCCCAGGTGGGTGCTGTGGCTTGGGGGGCTGGGGCAGTGTGTCAGTGGCCGGCGGGTCCACTGTGTGGGTGTGTCGGTGGGCCTCGGGGGCAGCAGCAGACGCGGCAGCTGCTGGTGCCCTTGGCTGTTGGGGCATGGGTGGGGGTGGGGGCTGCTGCTCCTCCAGCTCCGCTCGGGTGGCTTCTGGCAGGAGTGCTCAGCGAATGAAACCAAAACAGACACACAGACAAACAGACACACAGACAAACAGACACACAGACAAACAGACAGACAGAAGACATTCCCCCCTCTCTCCTCTCTCATAGCTGGTGCACTTGACTCACTCACTCGCTCACTCACTCCCTTGAGGGCCGCCAGCTCTGGGTGTTGGGGGTCGAAGTTTGGCCACAGTGCCGCGGGGTAGTCGATCGCATCCTTGATCGGCAGGTCGGAGCGATGGGCGCCAGGCTCAGACTGCATTGTTCCACACACACACACACACACAGACAAAGAGAAGGAGAGAGGCGCGGGAGAGGCACATATATATGTGCTGTCGTGTGTATGTGTGTATGCCCCCACCCACCTACCTCGCGGCAGCCGGCGTCCATCTCGACACGCTTCTCGCCACGGACCAGGGGCACTTGGTAAATCTCTCGGGGCCGCCGGAGCGGCCAGTTATGCGGAGACGAACAAAGAAAAGAGGAGACATGAGCAAATGTTCACGAGTCTCTTCTCTTCTTCCTCACTTACGCACCTGTGGGGCCGCCAGGAATTTCAGAGCGGTTTTAGATGAGGTGCATCGGCAATTGAGAACGAGAGGTCCACGGATATAAAATGGAGACAGCGATCGATCTGAACACGCAGACACGAGACACGTCAGGAAGACAGGAAGTGATCAGTACGGTTTGACAGCTTCACATACCCTTCGCAAATGGCTGGACAAGGCAGTGCGGGTGAAGGGTCGTCATCGGCCGATCGAATATAAAATGAAGGCAGCAATCGATCTGTGCAGAAACCCCAAGATGTATGATACATCTGCAGATGTATGTGGGGTTCAAAATGTGACACACAAGACTCAGTGCGAATGTCAATCGATGAGGTGAGAAGGGTGATCATTTCCTACCCGGTACGGCACGTGGAATGAGCGGAATTTGTCAGGGTCTTCCTCCATATATTTTGCCCTGCTCGTACTCTGCCAATCTGAAACGCACACACACAGCCAAAATTGCAATCAACCAGAGAGGAGATTGAATTGGTTACAACTTACCGATTCCTCTCCTCCCTCTGGGCATCCCAGAACGCCCTCTCCTCTGCAATGCAAAGACACAATGGTTCGTTCGTTTCCGTGCTGCTTTCCCTTGACCTCTGACTTACAGATCGATTTTGGTATTGAGGAGGACAATCTCACCCTCGAGGTAGCGAATGTGGTCAGAGTAGCTGCCAAGACAGAACCAACCAACCAACCAACCAACCAACGAATGAGTCAGTCAATCATCCGGCGGGCGTCCACGTGTGCTCACCTCACCCCCCCTGTGCATCTGTTTCTTTCTGTCTCACTTTTTGAGCTGTGCCTTGAGGTGGCAGTCGTTCATGTCGCGACGCTGGCACGTCAAACAAAGGTGGACCAACCTGCGGCACACCGACCGATAACACACACACACACATCCATCCATCCATCCATTCATCCATGTGTGGCTATGGTCTGACTGGCAGACAGAGCCACCCTCCCTTCCTCACTCACTGTAGCTGGAACTGTTGCCCAGTGTGGGGGTTGATGTTTGTAACACGCGGATGGTCTTCTATGATCGGGTTGAGGCACGAGGAGGCGTGAACGATGCTGGGCCCCGGTGCAGCCGTGCTTCGACCCGATGACTGAGCCAACAATGGAGAGCCTGAGGACCACACAGTCAGTCCATAGGGAGAAGGAAGGAGGATGGATCATTAGGGAGTGGACTTGAGGCGATGGGTGGATGGATGGATGGATGGATGGATACGGCCTATCTGAGCTCACCTGTGTCCAGATGCGCCTTGGCCGGCCCACCATTATCGTAGTCGTCAGACTCACAAACCAACATGTCAGCCTGCAGCAGTCACACACACACACACACACACACACAGAGAGAGAGAGAGAGAGACGGGCAGACACACATACACAGATGAAAGCGTGTGTGTGAGGTGGTCGGTGAGTGTCTGACCGTCTTGGCCGCCGGTGCCGGTGCATCTTCAGGCGGCTTGCCGTCTGCCATCCATCCATCCATCCATCCGACATGAGTGAGAACGGGGACGTGTCAACCAACGGCTGGGGTGCGTTTCTGTGCGTCCTTTTGCCTCCTCTGCTCACCGTCCTCTACAGACAAAGACCCCAACCCGAACTCTTCCACCACACGGCACTCCTCCTCCTCCTCTCTGATGGATGGATGGATGGATGGGGATCCGAATGAATGCCCCCACACACCATTATAGCGATGGATGAGGGCCTGCCTTCTCCCTCTACCTACTCTGCGCATGAGTCCTCCTTGTCAGCCATCTCTACACGACGAAACGGACAGCAATGGGATCTCCAAAACAGCTAGCTATCGCGGGAGCGGCTTCGTGACCACCTTTTCCTACGCAGCACAAGACACGCTAACGCGCATTGGCCTTTCTCCTTTCGTCACTTCCCTGTGTGGTCGTTTGTGTGTCGCCTTCGGGAATGGCCACCTTGATCTGCACCCATCGAACACACACACAAAGTGGAAAGGTGTACACACATTCGTTCGTGTGCTCACCTCCTCCTTGCTGTCCTGGTCACGGAGAAGCGCTGCATGTGCCTCAAGCTGAGCTGAGGCGGACTTGGCCAACGCAATACGCAGCCTCTCTATCTCAGCAGAGTACTGCCGTGTCTCGTTCCTTGTCGTCCTCGGCCTGTCGAAGCTGCTCACGGGCCGTCGTCAAGAGACCTTCAACCTGACGACACGGACACAGACCGAAGACAGATAGACAGACAGACACAAAGAGAGAGAGAGGGAGGGGGGACAGAGGGATTTGTGTGTGGATGTCTGTCTGTGAGTGTGTGGGTGTGTGCGCCCGCCTCGTTCGTCTCATGATCCACTTACCTGGTGGATGTCCGATTTGCGTTGCTCTAGCTGACGGTCCTTGTCACTCTGGACCTCCTCAACCGTAGACTGCAGACCTGCATCCGTCGGTCGGCGTATAAAATGACTAGCAAAGGGATGTCTATTTGTAGCACTCCACCAGCCGCTCTCCACTACGAGAACGGTCTGCTCACACACACACACACGCACACACATACAGACAAAGAGAAGGAGAGAGAGGCGGGAGAGACACATATAAATGTGCTGTCGTGTGTATGTGTGTATGCCCCCACCCACCCACCTTGGCGCCCTTGGCGGCCGTGAAGTGGTGAGTGCCCTCCTGGTTGGTCGCCGTCTGCCTCCTGTATCCATTCAAGCACACACACGGACGTACTTGTGTGGCGTGTGTCGGTTTCTCCCATTCACGCATTCATGTGTGCCTCAAGTGTGTGTTGATATAGGATACGTACTTGCTGTCCCAGTCGAGTGCTTTGCGGGGTCGCAGCCTACACCTGCAGACAAACGGACAGAAAGAAAAATCGGTGGACGGGTGGAGAGGGGATTCTGCACTTGTGCAGCTGACAGTCGCCCTTGGAGTCCTTCTCACCCGTGGCGAGCTCGCCGTCGTATTCCAAGTACTGCAGCATGGTGGTGGGGGGCGGCGAAGAGGGCGCCGCGGGGATCTGTGGCAGCGGGGGCGACCCTCGGTGGCTGCCGTCCTCCTCCTCGTAGCTGGCTGCTCCACACCTTCCCGGAGGGCCCCTCCTCCGCCTGGCGGGCGGTGCAGCGCTGGCCGAAGGCAGTGGTGCTGGTGGCTGGGCTGTGTCGGGTGCTGGCGAGTCGGGGCCGGTGGCGGTGGTGCCAGCAGGTGAGCCTGCCGCTGCAGGCGGCATGCTGGCTCGGCACGGCGGCGAAGAAGCCAGTGTCGCTGCGGCGGGTGGGTGTCGTGGCGGACCAGGCCGGTAGATGGCTGGCCTCGGTGCTGACGGACCCTGCCGTGCGGCGGGGAATTGCGGCGCCCTGGGCGCGCTCTTCTCCACCTGGCAGCACGGGGGG